GAATTGGCTAGATTTCTGAATCTCTGATTTTAGGTCAATAGCACATCACCTATATCCAAGAATCAAAAGTGAAGATGATTTAAAAAAAATGAAGATGAAATCTCTCTTTCAAAGACTTTGCCTTCTACTCTATTCTTTTCCTAGATCACAGTAAGACAGTCCTTAAATGTATAGCTAATCACTTGGGCTGTAAATGAAATGATCCCAGTTCCCTTTGGTTTTCCCATGGATGCAATGTTGTAATAAGAGGATATTTCCTAATCAACAGCCTGATGCTCATTTTTTTCATAAAATGATCAGTTTCTCTATTAAAACTGTTCCTCATCAAATCATAAATTTCTATGCTGCACAGTATAAAAGTTGAACAGTATAGAGAAGTTGATATACTTGAGTAATGCAGTAACTAGACACACAAAAATACTTAGTTCACTGAAGGTATAACTGATAGAAATACTTTGTGGATAAAAGTAAGCACCTAAGGACCTCCTGGGGAGGAACAATATTGTATATTAAGGGACAAGATCTGGAGTCAGGAAACTTGGGTTAGTCTCTTCTCTGCCACATACCACTCTTTGGCTTTGCCCAAGTCACACATCATTTTCAAGTTTTAACATACCTGTAAACAAAATAAAATTTATAATGTCCTTGTCATAAATTTCTTAAAGAATTAAATACGCGCATCTAAACAAAATGACTGCTATCGTGACTGTCACATGGGAAGTGCTCAGTAAATATTTGGGCGTTGGTACCACTTGGTAAAAAATGAAAGAATGTTCACAAAAGTAAGCCATAAAGCTTTACATCATGTATCCTACGTGATTTTTATTGATTATTGGTAAGGAATACTTGAGACCAGGAGTCAAAGAGAACCCAGGCAGAGGGAGCTGTATAGACTGTCAGGAAGCCATCTAAGTCTTAAGTATTGGTTCATGTCAGAAAACAGACATTCCCAATGACGTAAGTGTGCGTGACCTCCTGCCAGAGTTCTGAGCAGTTGGCAGAACACTGAGCATGTGACTTATCATAAGTCAAATCAACGTAAGTGAGGAACCACCTGTTGTTTAAAACAAGTGCCTCATTGAACTTGTTAGAGCATGAGAAAACTCAGGGAAAAAGTGGTATCTCTGATGGAAAATGCATAGTCCTCCCTCTACTTTCTAAGAATTCCCTTTGCCACACCTGTATCTGGTCCAAGCATCTCTACTAAGCTTCCTCTTTGGAGAAGACTGGGAAGTGGGAGCTGGGGCTTCCTATGGCAACACTTTACCTGCGCTCTGCCTTCTTCACAACATTGTGGATCACTCTACAAAATAAAATAGGGAGGTATTCCCTTTAGCTTCATGTATAAACTATACTAGAAAGCCCTATCCTACCTATTTAGCCTGAGTGCTGTCCCACGTATAGGTATTCAAACTTTAATTCAGGTTCTTAAACCAAACACCATCACATTCACAAAACCTGTTTATTTTTTCTTTCCCTTCAACTTAGCTAAGGGAAATTCTCTCTCTCTCCTCTTTCTCCTCTCTCTCTCTCTCCCCCTCTCCCTCCCCCCTTCTCTCCATTTTTATTGAGAAATAACTGATGTACATCACTCTATAAGTTTAAGGTATACAGCATGATGGTCTGATTCACGATTACTGTGAAATGATAACTATAAGAGGTTTAGTTACCAGCCATCATCTTGTATAGATGTAATAAAAAGAAAAGAAAAAAAGTTTTCTCCTTGTGATTAGAACTTTTAGGATTTAATCTCTTAACACCTTCCCTGTATATCATACAGCAGTGTTAGCGATGGTCCTTATGCTATACATTATATTCCTAGGACTTAGTTATCTTATAAAGGGAAGTTTGTACCTTTTGCCCACTTTCCTCCGATTACCCCCAATTGAAAATTTTTTGCTTTTTAACATTAAAGCTAAATCCTGCTTGGATATTGCCACATACTAGCTGACAATTTTCTCTTTCTTCTCTCCTCACTGTTAAAGCTCGCTAATTCTATCTCCATTTGAACCTGAATCAACCTTCCTTCTCTCTTTTTTAAATTTATACTTAATTTCTGTTTCACTAAAAAGCCTCTGCACTCCTTATAAACTCCCATTTCTTTCAGTGACTGAGTAGAGAACCCTTAGACCATACTGGCACCCTGATCTTGAACATCCAGTTTCCAGAACTGTAAGAAATAAGTGTTTGTTGTTTACAAGACACCGGTCTGTAGTATTTTTTGTCATAGCAGCCAAAATGGACTAAGACAGAGGCACACTAGATGAATTAAATCTTCAATACCTTCTTCCAAGTCACTGTCTTCAGCTGTACGCAGAGTATATGGGTATATTGTATATAGTTTTATTTTCTGTATATTGTGATGTTCTGGCATCTTAACAAAAAATTTAAAAAAGCCTTCTGACTAGGGAGGCACTGGGCACTGCCCATCCCAGGACCTGCCTTTGATCTGCAAGCTGACCAATCCAGAGCCATACCTCCTCTATCTAGCTCATGTACTGCAGGAAACTGCCTTAATCAGCCCATGGCCATGCATCAGGCAACCAGGGACCTCACCTGTGGCCCAAAGCCTGATGAAATTATCCAAGTTAGATAATCCTAAACTCTTTACCCTGCCTTGCCCTGCTGTGGAAACACCAGTAAAGGCCTCGGTGCTTGCCATCTCCCGCTCCTGGGTCCCGACCAACCCCTGGTATTCCCTCAGCCTCCCCTGCGAGGCAAGCCATGCCTCCCTATCATTCCTGGGAGAACTGGACTGTTAAACTGTTTTCCAAAGGCACAGACCTCTCAGTATCCTCAGTCAGAACCAGGCACAGGTTATTAGTTTTATATTTTAAAAAGATGTTATTTCCAATATTTCTGACTTGTTCCTTTTTACACCCCCTCTTCTTTTTTATTGTACCTTAATGCTGTTTTATAATATCCTGTTTTTTCACGTGGAAATTATTTATTCATTTACCTCTCCACATATCCTCAGAAACTTTAAAGTATTAATCAGCTGGTTCCATGAAATTCATTTCACTCCTGAAATTATATTCCTATTTTGACTGTTGATTGGGTTGGCTGCACACTTTAACATTTGATTTCTGTGTATGTGTCACCCACATGCTTAGATAAGGATGTGTTTGTTTGTTCTTCGCTTTTCTTCCATGCTCACCCATCCTTGCTTAGTGATCATTAGTCGAACACCCTGATATTGCATATTTCAGTGTTCTCACTAGAGGAGGCCCTAGGGACATCACAGATAAATTCACTAGTTCACTAGGTTCCCTGGTTCCATTTCTGAGCTTAGATCCATAACTAACCTTACTATACAGCTTGCTACAAACCATTGATGCAAAGAGCAAGTACTAGCCATTTTCTTAAACCCAATGTCATGATCTAGGCATGCGAGAGAAAGGATTTAAGTTGAGGCTACAAGCAGCAAGGCTGACTCCAGACCTCCAGGTATGATAGAGCACTTTGGTTTTACCCTTAGTTCCTTACAGAACCAGAGTCCTAATTTCCACTGCCCACCTGTCCCAGAGTCCATAAAGCCTATGCTTCTATGACTCGGAATTTATTTCTGATCCAAAGAAACATCTTTTACAAAATACCTATTTCTCTTTTTCTATTTTACCTTATCCATCTTTGTTACATTTTTGAGCAGAGGGATGTAAACATGTGTAAGTATAAACTTAGTATAAGTTTATGTACTCATACATGTAACTCACATAAGCTTTGTGTACTGTCTTGATCATAAGTCTGAACACCTTGTTAAAGATAACACTCTCTAAATCAAAAAGAATACAGCATATTTTTTCAAAGAAAAAGCATAATTGAGCAAATAGTAAGTTCTGGACTATGACTTCATCTCCACTAGCAGCAGCATAAATACTGGGCTCCCATACTGGACTAAGCTTTGTACAGAAGACTCAGCATCTGCTGGGTTTAGAGACATGGGAGAGTGATAAATTATCACAACCATCCCTTTCTGAACAAGCTGTGAAATAGGCCATAGACCCTGCTAAGGATCAAAATATAATTGTCCCATGGAACACCTGGGTGGTGCAGTCTGTTAAGCATCCGACTCGGTTTCAGCTCAGTTCATGATCTCAGTGTCATGAGATCAAGCCCCAAGTTGGGCTTCACACTCAGCGCGAGGTCTCCTTGGGATTCTCTTTCCCTCTCCCTCTGCCCCTCCTGCTCACATACTCTCTCTCTCTCAAATAAATAAATCTTAGATATATATAATATATATATTTACTATACACACACACACACACACACTTGATTCTCCTTCCTTCTGACTTCCTTGTTTAGTTTTTTGGACCTACGTTTAAAAAGAATTACAAACAAGATATTTACCAATCTTGCTTCACACAACTTTGAGCACAGAGAACTCTGCCCCATCAAAAAAAAAAAAAAATGTTCATCTAGGCTTACTGACATTGACCGTATTAATTATTCCCAACAGGGAAATCTGACCAATCCAGATTGGTCAAACCAGCTTTCTTTTTCATTTGCCTATTAGCTGATCCTCTCTTTTTGTCTGGGGAGAAGTCAGTAGAGATGTAAAGTAAGCAACAGTGTCCTTCGATTTATATCCGAGAGCAGCACATTTCTCAATTTAATGAGTGTGTGACATATCTGGAGAGCTTCTGAAAAAGCAGGTCCAATGGGTCTGGGGCAAGGCCTGAGATTCTGCATTTCTAAAAGCTCCCAAGGCATGAAGACATGGGTTTCAAGTACCAAGTTCCTGGAGCAGTGTTTTTCAAATCCTTTCGGGAGATCCCCAAGATCAAAATTATTTTTATACTAATATAAAGGCATTACACTGGAGTTTTCCAGAAGGTACGTGACATATGATGTTACAGTGATTGAATACAGAAGCAGATATGAGAATCCAAATATAGTCTATAGACAGATTTGCAGAAATATAAAACAATATCACTCACTTTACTAAATGTTTTTCATTTTGGAGAATATAGTTATTTTTCAAAAACAATACATTACCTAAATTAGCATTGAATAGGTTTATTGCTGTTAATAGTAAATGAATCAACAAATACTTATTTTTAAGGTCTCATTTCTATTATCATAACTATTAGTAGATATAACCACATATTGAGGACTGCTCATAAGCCAAATATTTAGAGGTTCTCAGTAATTTTTAAAGGGATAGCAGGGTCCAAAATACCTGAGATCCACTGCTTTATAGAGGGTGGAAATTTATTTTCCCTGTTGCAGCAGAAAAATTAAGAAAGAGAAAGCATCCTACTCCATCCTATGAAGAAAACATTGAGAACCCACACATTTTAAAATCCTACCTAAGCACAAAGTACTTGTGGACATTTTTGAAGGAAAAAAATAAAAGACTTTGGCCATGCCTTATACTCTTTTTAATGGAATGTCAATAAACATTCAAGGAGTTCTTATTCAAGTCCCTTAAGGTTGGGAAATGACAGAACAGGAAAACAAGTGAGTCTTAATCCCAAAATATGCTACATTGCCACAAAAGTAGATGAGTCAGTTTATCCTTGGCCTCTTTAAATTCCCATGTTTTTTTACCCATCTCGTGGATGAGCATTTGGGAAGGTATTTTCCTTATTGCACATATTATTTCTTCTTACAAGCTTCTCTTCAAAACATCTGTGGGGCAATGAGTGAAATAATGCATTTGTTGACTTCACATGTGGCAAAAAATACAATGATTCTGGAAGTTTCAAACCAACATTTTACCCCAGGCATGTTTAATCCAACTGCTGGTGCTTTGTGTTCACCCCCTGTAGCTTTATAGAAAAGTTTGCACTCTCTTGCCTTTCCCTTCAACCTCACTTTATTGGCGATTCACTGTGGTGTACTTTTTGTGCATAAAAACACATTTTGCCATCTTGCAACTTTTTTCAAATGTTTATCTCACTGGTGAGTAAACTCTGCATTGCACTAACCACCTAGAGGTTCCGACTCATCTACCTCCTTTTCTTATGCCTCCGGGCAGCAGAGGTGAAACTGTTCACGTGTTGGTCTGAGCCACCACTGGATTCTCCTTTCAACTGTTTCCATCTTCTTTTCTGTCTTAAAGCACAGGCTTACTTATGTTCTTGTCACTCCTACCGACAAAAATAACAGTTAACCTCCTTTGAACAAAAAGTTGTAGATTTGTTTCATTGGTTTTGACTTCAAGCAACAGAAATGTATTCTCTCACCTTCTGGGAACTAGAAGTCCAAAATCAAAGTGTAAGCAAGGCCACACTCTCTCTGGAGGTACTAGGGGAGAATCCCTCCTTGCTTCTTCCTGGCTTCTCCTGATTCCTTGGCCTTCCTTGGTTTGAGCTGTTGTGTCTCTCCAGCCTCTGTATCATCTCCACACGGCCATCTTCCCTCTGTGTGTGTGTGTGTGTGTGTGTGTGTATCTGCGATTTTTTAGGACACCAGTCATTGGATTTAGAGCCTTGCCTAATCCCAGTATGACCTCATTTTTACTAATTATATCTGCAAAAACCCTATTTCCGGATAAGGTCACATTGTGAGGTTTTAGATGGTTCTTTTTGAAGAAACAAAGAGTTGTGGTTTTAGTTTTTGCTCAATCTCTTTACGTTAGTTGCTTGCTACGAGATAATGAGTATTCAAAATGAAATAAACAAGACACAGAACCAGAAATGCCAAAGAGCTGTATAAGATGACCACATTTCAAATTATGAATTGGTGTGTACTATATACATAAATTCTTCAGGGAACTACCCAGTGATTGGAAATGTGAATACCATATCCACTAATCCTAAGGGTCTGATAGATTACATCATGTGGTGGGAAAGACAAGAGTCATTGAATCCTCCCTCAAGTACCGACAACTACCTGAATTCTCGTCTGGATTTAGGGGTCTAGAACGCAAAAATTTCTATTAAGCTGAGTTAGAATCATGGTTCTTTTCATGAACTATAATTCTTTCTCTCTTCCTTCCACTCAGGCCAAGATCGTAAAGAATAAACAAGAATTATATTATTATTATTATTATTATTTTTGCTTTGTCTCTCCTCACTTAAATCCTGTGGGATTAAATGAGATTGATTTAACTGAAATCAGTTAAGCACAGGTCTGTTTTGGAGGTGCTGGAGGCATGTGTAAATGAGGGTAGCAGTCCTCACGCTCTGTGACAGAGTGTGGCATGTGTCAGAAGGGACAAAAAGACAAGCACATTAACAACTTTAATACTGTCAGGAGTATAAACACAAGAGGACATGAATGAGAAAGATACATTGGTTGTTTTCTGAAAGTTCTGTAGGGTTTATGTGTGGAATATAGGTGGGAAGCTTTCTCTTGCTATACCTGGCAGTTTCCCTCTGTGAATGCCTCCATCTTATTTAGTCTTAATCTGCACTGTTTTCCTTCTTCAACTTTTTTAAAAGAAAGCCACTTTATCTGCTAACAGATGAAATGAAATAATGATAATGCAATTAATGCTTTGGCAGAAATAAATGAAAATCTGAAATGCAGAAAACAAATGCTAGAGGTTATATAATTACTTGTAAATATGTATTTAGTAATTCACATCCAACTACTTGTAATTAATTCTAAAGTTATGTGTCAAAAGAACCCTTTCAGATGCCACTCAACAGAGTCACCTAAAACATTTGGGCTTAAACTGACATGGGCCATCAAAGATCTGATAACCTTTGTGGGCAGATCTGGTGAGTGATGTGGGAAACAAAGGCAAAAGAAAAACTGAATTTCTTTACCACTTACAGCCCAATGACAAGTCCTTGAAATAGGCAGAGTGACCTTCCTCTAGAAACTCAGCTGCCTCGATGTTAATACTTTGCTAAAGGCAGAAGACAATTCTGGTCTGACCCCTCCCCCCCAATCCTGTAAGTCTACTTTAACATATAAAAATTCCTTTTGAAACTTCCTTTATCTCTAAACCCCCGCAAGATACATGTTGGCAATCATCCCCCAAGCATATGGCCCACCGATATACATCTGAAGGGTCTCATGACTAAGGTTTTATTAGACAGTAATAAATGACCTTTTCCCAACAATAGCTAGCCCCCTCAAGGTCCTGGAAAACTTGCTTCCAAAACTCCTTAGAGACTTACACTATCCCTAAGCCCCTCCCAACTTGAAAGTATATAATGGGCCTCTCCTCATGATCCCAGTGCAGCTCTTTCTACCCATGGGTCCTGTCCCCACGCTTTAATAAAATCACCTTTTTGCACCAAAGATGTCTCAAGAATTCTTTCTTGGCCATCAGCTTCAAACCTTAACATCTTTTCTACATCAGTGAGGACTCCCTTTAGGGGATGATTTTGAACACAGATTTGAATGTTATGAGTACAACTTCATCCTTTCCTACCCAGATCTGTTCTCTAAAAATTTGATGTTCCATATGCCTGAAGGACAAGAGGAATCTCGGTTTTATCACGCACCTGGACTGGAAAGGGGATGGATGGATTGGAAGAGGATCCCGAAATGAGAAAAAGAGAGAAGCAAAAGCAAGAATCTGGCTTTGGGGAAGAATGCAGGAAAACGCGGTCAAAGATGAGTTCCTTGAACTAGAAATCAATCAAACTCTACTTCCCTGTCTCTTCCAGCTGCCTCAAGCTCATCTGCTCATATTTTCAAAGATCAGAGATAGCAATTGTGTTGGGACTCTGGGGTGTTCCAGCTACTGGTGAAAGGAAGTTTCCCACAGGCTCAAGTCTGGTTGTCTGGAAAGAGAAAAGGGAGAGAGTTGGTGGTGATTGACATGGAAGAAGTATCCTCCGTGGGACTTAGAATCACATCTTCATTCAGGCAGTAAGTAATGGTGGCATTCTCACTTGGTGTTTCCAAAATGATTCTGGGGACGGGAAGTGGGGTATAGGAAGAGCGACACCTCCTAAGTAAAAGAAAGTAAAAATTTCAATGCTTTTACCTGAACCCCTGTCTTCCTGGAGGATCATCTGCTCTTCCATCTGTTAGTGCCTGACTGGGAAAGCTGTGTGTTAGAGAGATACATATTAGTCCATGGACAGTCATGAAAAAATGATACTGGGTATCTTTCTTAAACCACTGAAGAGACTTGCAGTGACCTCAGCATCGTGAGTGGGCGGTAAGCTTATTGACTACACGTTTCCTGTTTCTAGTTCCTGCCTGCCCAGGGGGAGTGAGGCAGTAACCAATTGGTGTTTATCAACTTTGTTTAGATTAACAGGTCAGTGTCTTACTTTACTGACCAGAATAAGGCAAAAACATTAACACAGAGAGATTGAGTAGTGTTGAGGAAGACTGTGATACTCCGGAGCTTGAGTAAGGTGTTGTTACCATGAAACCTTAACTTAAAAAAAAACAATTAATTGTTGCTATGAAACAACAACTCCTACCAGTGCAATTACTACTCATTATGGAATTCGAAATCTTTGCTTGAATTTGCCATCATGAAGGAAAACATAAAAACCTCAAGTGTTTCAAATTACTTTAGGCTGGAAATTCCTGATTTTCCATGTGTTTCCACTAAGGTTTGATTTTGAGATGATTTCCGGAAAATAAAGGGGGAAAAAAAAAGAACCTGGGTAACTCATAAAAGCAAGTAATATGCGCATAATTGTGTGAGAAAAGCTAAAACAACATTTCACAGCTGGTCAGCATAAAAACTGACTTGTCGGTTTTACTTTACAGATAGCACCTGTATGTCTTAAATAATACACATGTACATTATTCATTTGAAGACTTTTATAAAGAATAAACTTTCTGTGTATAAGAGAAATAAAAATCTATCTTTTCAAAAATTTATTTTTCATAATATTAAGTAAAACTGACTCTGAAGTGTATGCTATCCATCACAACAGAGAGAATGCTGTGTAATACGTCCTAGGCAGATAGCAGAGACAACAGTTTTAAGTTTTATCAGGAATTGAAGTAAATTTCGCTACAAAAAAAAAAAATTATCTACTACGCCTGTCTCAAGAAAGTTTTCTTTGCAAAGGGCAAAGAGAAGTTGGTGTCATACCCTGTCTTATTATTCCAGCTTTATTCTCAGGACTTTCTATGCACAGGTCAGTGCAGCCTAGAGGGGAAACTGAGTTAGGGGTGACTGTGTGTGCGTGCATGCATATGTTGATGTGTGTTATGTGTCCAATGTGTGCGAGATTGTACATGTGGATTGGTGTGTCCAGGTGCATGTTAGACCATTGTGGGAAATAAGATTTGTAGAAGGAGGTAAAGGGTTGGGAAAGGAGAGAAGGACTGATCAGGTAGAGTTTCATCCTCTAAAAACTTAGGATTCATATCAAAGCTAACATAGTAAATACATTCCTTTCCATATTCCCAAAGTGTACTCTTTGGTTTGTTTTGCTTTGTGTTAAGAACATTTAACACAGAAGTATACCCTCAATACATTTTTAAGTGTACAATACAGTATTGTGAACCGTAGGCACGATGTCAGTGATGTACAGCAGATCTCTAGAACTTATTCATGTGGCAGAACTGAAACTCTGTACTCTTTGAACAGCAATTCCCATTTCCCCCTTCCCCCTCTGGCAACCACCAATCTGCTCTCCACTTCTATGAGTTTGACGATTTTATAGACGATAACATGGATGAACGTGGAGAACATTCTGCTAAGAGAAGTAAGCCTGTCACAAAGAAACCAATACAGCATAATTGCACTGCACGAGGTGACTAAAATAAACTCTAGTTCTGAAGCAAGTCTTCTGAGAACTAGAACTTGCAAAGCTGAGTAGCGCCTGAGGGAGGGCTGGCCCGTTGTCTTTAAGGCATTCCTAAAGGGCCTTAACCCCCAGGGGGTGGAGGGAAGGTTCTGCTCCCTGCACCCACCATCAGGCCTCAGAGGGAGATGATACTAAGGAAGCTCAAAATTCAGCAAGGCCAGGGGTAGGGATCTTTATGCGGGAAAGGAAAATTATTGCACGGAGTTGAGAGGCTGTGATTCTCCTCCATGGGAGGTAAGGACCAAGTGTTTGGTTAGAGTGGAACGTTTTATTATCAGTTATTTCCTCAGTAAAATCATAGATGGGGAGGGGGAGGAAATGACACTTTAACAAATGGAAATTTGAGCAAATACTACTTAGGAGGATACACAAACCCTATGGACTGAAGCTGTCCTGGAAATACATCACTCAGAACACCTGTAGTTCTTCTCTTGCTCTTTTCCCTCCCTATTTGTATTTTCCAGCTTGTACTCCCAAGTATCTCCTGGTAGGATTGGTTCCATCTCTGAACTGTGAGCTGCTCTGAACGTTAGTCATGGCTTATTCATGTTTATGTGCCTCCAGAGAACTTCACACAGCAGGGCCGCCAGCCCTTAACAGATATTTGTTAAACTGGATAGATTTTAAGAGGTGTCGTAGATTGAACACCAATGGAGGGAGTAAAGTCTTAAGGATTCAGGAGAGCTGGCCGCTAGTGGACTTTTTATCCATGGGCAATCAATTTGGTCTCTATTCTTAGCTTCTCATTGGTAGATGGAGGAAGTTGCCTTACATGATCTCCAAGATAACTTCCTACTCTAACTGTCTGGCATAGAAAGTCTCGCTTCCTTTTCGGAAATGTAAAACTATATATCAGGTGTGATCACATCCTCCATAAATGCAGGGAAAAGTTCTCATGAAAAATGCACAAATAAAACTGTTTTTTGGAATTATGGAAGACTGAAGTGGCAATTAGTCCACCTAAACACGACTGCTAATATATTTTAGCTTTCTACTGTAAAAAGAAAATAAAAACTTGGACGACTCTCATCCAGTGCAAATTACTTCCTTGGACTGACAAGACATTCATTGTTCTGGAACACAGCACTTCATCCTAATCCACTAGGGTAATATCTGAAAAGTATTACCAAATGAACTTCCTAAAGTATCCAAGTTACTCTCACAGAAAAATAAAAATTATACCCAAGTAGAAATTTTCTGAATATGTAAGAATTTACTCATTATATTTATAAGCTGTATAAGTGCCTTTCTTTGTGAATCCTCATGTTTGGAGCTTTATCTGCTTCTGTCCTGTTCTCCAATATAGTTCTAAACATTTGAATAATCTGAGTACAAATGTCATTATGTAATTAAATTTAGAGGCATAAAATCCAGAGGCATGATTCACTGAGAAATATAGTGGTTTTGAAAAAGGAGAAAAACTTTCACTAAGAAGAAAATTCATCTGGAGTTTGCTCTCCATAGACACAAGGACCACAAGGCTTTAAGGTTACTGGAAGGACAAAGAAGACTACTGGAATCTAGGTTCTCCTTCTTTAAATCCTCATCCTGAACATCTCTGGTTCCTCACAACATTCAACTAGTAGAACTGGCTTTGGGCAACTGACCACTTGGAGACTGAGGGATTGTGGAATAAGAAGGGGATGATGGCCTTAAGCAACAGCAATTTCCTGCCAAGTCTGGAGGTAGTTCAGAATCCACTAGGGGTTGTTGGGTGGTCCCCAGTCTCAACAATCATTTCATTTATGCAAGTGAACTAATTCTCAGGATATGCTTCACTCTGCCTCCCAGATGACTGACTCCAGAGGGTTCTCTAGGCACTGGCCAATAGGCTTCATTGCTGGACAATTCTGAGATTCCCACCTGGGGCTCACCACCAGCCTGAGAACCTCGAATCACCCCAGGACCCTCTGATTCTCTCCCTGAAAAAGTGATCAGGTCTCTTAGCAAGGATCTGGGAAAAACCACCTGCAGCTTAGGATCCACAGAGGCACCCCTGCTCTCCTTCGCATCTCTGTAAATTAAAGGTAAGAAAGACAGAACTGTGCTAATCATTCCGGATTCACTTTTACTGATGTATTCACTAATTAGCCCTGAAGAATGAAGAAGGGTGGGAGGTGCTCTTGCAGTGACAACGCCACTCATCTACTAGTAAGCACCGACCGGAACCCCCTGTGCCCCAGTCCTTTTTTTTTTTTCTTCTCCTAACAGGAATTTCTGAGAATGATAGTAAGTCAAGGCCTGGAGCCATGAGTGGATGTTTTCGGGTATCTAATTCTCATTTAAGCAGGAGGAAGAAGAGAAAGTGTAGGCACAAATTTTGCAAATCTCACGAAAAAAAAAAGAAAAAGCTCAATTTTCTGCCACAGTTAACACTTTCTCGCCCTGCCTTCTTAAAGCAAAGCGAAGGAAGTTCCAATCACCCGGGATTAAGGGACAGATTGCGGGCACCGATGAAAGGCGCGCGGAGAAGGGGGAGCCCTGGGCTCGCACACAAAGGAGCGGAGTTCCCAGGCGGCTGGCGGCCCTGCCCCGGGCACCGCAGCACTCAGGGCGCAGCGGCGCGCCAGGAAGCGCCTGCGGCTCCCCGGCTGCCCGGCCCCTCTGCTGGTGGCTGGGAGAAGTTAGTCACCCGGAGCCCGAACCCGACGAGCGTCCCAGCGGGCAGAGGCCGGGGAGTGAGGAGGGAGGAAACCCGGTACCCGGGCGGCTGGGAGGAGGCGAGAAGAGCGCGGGGCGAGGGGGCGCACGGGAAGCCCAAAGCCCTCGGCTGGTGGATGGAGTTGCAAGGTCTTCGAGACCGGAGCGCACGGGAGTGCGAAGAGGAAAAACTTGCGGCAGGAACTTCCTACCGAGGGAAAGAAAAGCAGGAGAGAAGGAGGCAGGGAGAGACTTGAAATGTCTCAGTAACTTTAAAAACACACCAAAACACCCCTTGCAAGAGATGAGGTAAGCCGGGGTTAACCAACCCCGATTGGTTGTGAAATATCAGACAAACCCGGAGCCACTGTGGCTTTAAATGAGGCCAAGTTAATCTGTTTTTCTTACCCCAATACTTTTTTTTTTTTTTTTTCCCCTCGCCCTCGCTCCCTCCCTCATCCCTCCTTCCACCTCGCCGGGTCCTTCTCGGTCTCCCTTTCCTAGATCACCCCCCTCGCCCGCCCTCCCCCATCTGATTAGGCGCGGACCGGGAAGGGTGGGAGGGGTGGGGGAAGCTCTCCCTTTAAGAGGCAGCTTGCAGTGACGAATTGTTGAAATTGCCATTGCAGGATGGCATGCCGCTATAAATTCATTGTTCCACCTCCTCGCATCTTCACAGCGCTCGCGCTGCTCTCGGCGCTCGCAGCGGCCGACTGGGGATGACCGCGGGCAGGAAGACACTGCATCCGAAGGAGCACGGACGCGCCGCTTCACTGGCTCCCCGCAGGCCGCCCCTTGCACTTTTTGTTTTAATTTTATGGCTTTTTTTCTCTCTTTCTTCCCTTCCTCCTGGTTCCAGTAGAGTCAAGGAAACCCACAAAATAAGAAAGGAAGTGGGCTCCAGAGCTTGGAACCCCCGCCGCCGGCGAGTCCAGAGCAGCAAGGGGCGGGAGGCATCGCGCACCGGTTGCCCGCCTGGTGCGCGGCACCATCCTTACTTTTCTTCGTGCCGCGATAGTGGTTGCACTTGGGGTTGGATTTAGGTTGTTGTTGTTGTTGTTTTCCCCCTTTCCTCGTATTTGCGGAACCTCCACAACCCGGCTTTTCTCTTCTTAATTTTTTCCCCTTTTTTTCCGGAGCACGAATCCAAACATTTTCCAAACCAACAAAGAAAAGTTCGCACGCTGGCACTGAGGCTGGGACAGGCTGGCGCTGCCGCCGGGTCCCCCTCCTTCCGACACTTGACTCAACCTTGCAAGCGTGTGTGTGCCCCCACCTCCCGCCCCGGTAACTTCCATAGCGAATAACAAATACCCATAAAGTCCCCGTCGCGCAGCCCCTCCCTGCGGGCAGCGCACTATGCTGCTCGGGTGGGCGTCCCTGCTGCTGTGCGCGCTCCGCCTGCCCCAGGTCGCGGTCGGCCCCGCCGCGGCACCTGCCCAGGATAAAGCCGGGCAGCCTTGGGCTGCTGCAGCGGCCGCCCAGCCCCGCCGGCGGCAGGGGGAGGAGGTGCAGGAGCGGGCCGAGCCTCCGGGCCACCCGCACCCCCTGGCGCCGCAGCGCAGGAGCAGCGGGCTGGTGCAGAACATCGACCAGATCTACTCCGGCGGCGGCAAGGTGGGCTACCTCGTCTACGCGGGCGGCCGGAGGTTCCTGCTGGACCTGGAGCGGGATGGTTCGGTGGGCGCCGCTGGCTTTGTGCCTTCAGGAAGCGGGCCGAGGGCGACCCGGCGCCACGGGGACCACTGCTTCTACCGCGGTACGGTGGACGGCAGCCCACGCTCCCTGGCTGTCTTTGACCTCTGCGGTGGTCTCGACGGCTTCTTCGCGGTTAAGCACGCGCGCTACACCCTGAAGCCGCTGTTGCGCGGGCCCTGGGCCGGGGCCGGGGCCGAGGTCGAGGCCGGGCGAGTGTACGGGGATGGGTCCTCGCGGATCCTGCACGTCTATACCCGCGAGGGCTTCAGCTTTGAGGCCTTGCCGCCGCGCACTAGCTGCGAGACTCCCGCGTCCCCGCCAGGGCCTCGCGGGCGCCCCCCGGCGCCCAGCAGCCCAGACCGACGCTGGGCGCTGGCCCCGCAGTTCCTGGACCAGTCAGCTCCCTCCTCCGACGGGGGCCAGGGACCCCAGACGTGGTGGCGGCGGCGGCGCCGCTCCATCTCCCGGGCCCGCCAGGTGGAGCTTCTCCTGGTGGCTGACGCGTCCATGGCGCGCATGTATGGCCGGGGCCTGCAGCATTACCTGCTGACCCTGGCCTCCATCGCCAACAGGCTGTACAGCCATGCCAGCATCGAGAACCACATCCGCCTGGCCGTGGTGAAGGTGGTGGTGCTGGGTGCCCAGGACAAGAGCCTGGAGGTGAGCAAGAATGCGGCCACCACGCTCAAGAACTTTTGCAAGTGGCAGCACCAGCACAACCAGCTGGGGGATGACCATGAGGAGCACTACGACGCGGCCATCCTGTTTACGAGAGAGGTAAGTCCAACCTGCCTGGGTGATCCAGGCGCTGGTGCAAGGAGGTAGGTGGAGGTCCAGCCTTGCTCACGGCCTCGCTTCTCGCACAGACCTCCTGCCACTACGGATGTGCTTCACTGCTCCTTGCAGGAAACCCAGCCAGCCTTCAGCCCTGCTCCGGTAGTCAGGGTCTCCCAGCAGCAATTCCTGCCTTAAAGGACTAGCCGTGCACTGACAATCCATCAATCAGGCAGGATGTCTCTAGTCTGAGACATGGTGTCCTAGATGCACAAACGGATAAGAAGGGACTGGAATGCTTGGGAAAAGGTACATAGCTAAATGGGAAGAGGGGGAAGGCAAGGTTGTCTTTGGAATGGAAGATCTCTCTCTCTCTCTCTCCCCCTTCCTTTCTTTCTTGTTTTTGTGGGGGAGATCATCTACTTGCCAGTGAACCTCAATATACAACTTTGTCCAACCTAATGGGAAGGGTTTTGTTGGTTCATTCATTGTAGTCACTTTTATCCACACCTTTCCTTTGTAAAGGTCCATACCTTCTTCCTTGAACCACTTCTGTGACATAAGTTGAGGAAAAACTTTCCAAAGGAAGGACTCTTTTTCCCAATCTGGCTTTTTAATGGAGTTCTTACATGTCCACCTGGTGGAATTTCAGTTTCCGGGAAGGAGGGAATTCAGGAGGGCAGGGAGGTAGGGAGGATATGGAAACCTAATCCTGTCAGGTTCCTTAGCAACTCCTCTGCCTAGCCCTCCAATGCACCACAAGCACTGTTGGTCCCTCCAGAGCTGCCAGGGAAGGGTCACATCCAGCTTGCATGTTTGGGGTTTGGATGAATATGTTTCTGAAGCCCCAGTGTGGAAAGATCTGGGCAAAGAGTCAAGACATGAGGAAGGAATGTTTGCCCAGGATTTCCCTCTTTTAAGGAAGATGGTTACAGGAAGGGAAAAAAACTGATCTTTATAGGCCCAGAGGTTCTGGGAAGAACACAATATCTATTTGCTCAATCATTCCATCACCGCGCTAAGTGTGACTTTCAGACACAGAGTCTGGGCTGGTTTGGAGCCTTGGCTTGCTCAGAGCTCTGAGCCTACTTCATGACTCTCCTCTGATTGGCAGCTTTAAGTCATGCCTCTCGGAAACCTGGTAAGAGCTGCCTTTTAAAGCTCATTCTTTATTTTATTATTATTATTATTATTATTATTATTATTATTATTATTATTATTGTAGTGCTTGGGATCCACCCAGGGTAGCTGAAGGATTCTGAAATTTTGAGGTATCATGCAAAAGCATGGTATGAAAGGGGGCAACCAGAGCTAGGATAGGAAATGCACTGATGGCTTGCAGAAAGCTTCAGAATCACACAGCCCCACTACCTAATTCTTTGTTTTTACTGAGGCACCGCTGGTATGAAGGAAAAGTGTCGATAAATTTGGAATGGAGGAACACTTGTGGTCCATGGGGTGGACATAAATGTAAACCACATGTAAACAAGGGTGCCAGAGGGCAACAGTTTAGGAAGAACCTGCCAGCCCACGATGCTAGGCATGATGGAAAATCTGCCTTCTCATTAAGTGATCTAAAAACCATCCTTTAATTTCTCTGCGCTACATAAATCTTTGACGTGGAAGAACATTTGTTTTGTAGCCTTCCATATGAAGTAGAATTCTCCTGTAAAACTATCCCTTTCTTATTTGGTTTCCAAGTCTTTTTCTTTCTTTCTTTTTTTTTGGTAAGCAATTTTCCACGTCTGGATTTCTTGCTTTGCTGCATCACAAGAAGCTGCCAAGAAGAAGGCTTCAGAGAGTTTGTGGAAGGAAGTTCTCTAAAGACAGAGGAAAAAATACTTTTGTAAGCACACTACTCCAAAGAGTAGGTCATTTTAATAGTTCAGTTTCATTTTTGAATACAAATGCACATTCCGCAACTTTTAAGACAAATAAAAATTCATAGAAGACCCCATTCCTCCCTACCTCCTGCCCCATCATTTTCCTAACTGCTTCCCAGAAAAAAAGGAAAACTAGTCAGTGGTTCTGAATGATCTGTCTGTTGCTTTTTCTGGATTTGTGTTTTTTTTTTGGATAGCTAGCAATTCTTATTTTCCAAGCTTTGAAACATATCAGTACATTTTAAGTAGATAAAAGCAAGGGAGAAAGAAATTAATGGTCTATCTTAATGTTAATAAGTATTATAATAACATACATTTTCCAAACTAGTCTGCACATGGAAAATATTTTACATGGGCCCTCCCTGGCCTCCCTGCCAAGCAGAAGGATACTTTTGGTAAAGCAAATCTCGTTTAGCTTGCGGTTGGCCCTCTGGTATATACATCTAACTTGAAGGGAACCAAATATTTGAAAAAGCATGTGTATGGTGGATATATATATACTTAGTTTAAAAGAATGCTGTTAATTAGGGGGCTGAGAAAAATATTACAAGACCCTTTTGCGGCATTCATTAAGAGTACTTCAAAATGGGGCGCCTGGGTGGCTCAGTTGGTTAAGCGACTGCCTTCGGCTCAGGTCATGATCCTGGAGTCCCGGGATCGAGTCCCACATCGGGCTCCCTGCTCAGCAGGGGGTCTGCTTCTCCCTCTGCCCTCTTCCCTCTTGTGCTCTCTGTCTCTCATTCTCTCTCTCTCAAATAAATAAAATCTTTAAAAAAAAAGAAAAAAAGAGTACTTCAAAATGTAAAGTTAAGCTCCATCTAATACTTCAGACTGTGGAAAATGAGAGGACTAGAGCAGAAATAATCTGAGCTCTTCTACCATAGAAATCAGATATCTTAAGACCTAAAAAAAAAAAATGCTCATGACTATTTTTTTCTTCAATGAGAAATACCCTGAGTTGGCACCAGGATCCTACTTTTACAACTCTGTTTTGAATGTAAGAAGTACGTTGCTTAGCAACCAGACGCCAAGCCATCAAATCCATGTTTTGATGGGCTCTGAGCACTGTTCAAATTTTGTGTCCAGATGTCTTCTCTTAAATTGCTTGTTTTTCAGGCATGAAGCAAATGTGTGAGGATATGTTTTCCACCCCTGTTTACTAGCCCAGGCCACCTTGAACGTTGTGTCTGGGAGTCAGCAGAATAGTGCTAGTAATTCTTTTATCAAACTAACACACTTCACCAAACCCCAGCACTCTAATTAGAGAAACTTAGCACCAGCCAATTTTCTGGAATAGGAGCCGTTTTCATTCTGAAATAGCACTCATGCTGGAATTCACACCACTTCTGCCATCAAACAGCAGAAATCTGATCTCAGGATTTAATTTTGCTTTCCAGAATCCTTTCCTTGTCCCTGGCTTCCTCTTTTATTTTAAAATAGGTTCTTCAAAGACATACTCTTAAACCCAGTTTGGAGATCACGCATTCTTCTTTAGAAACAAAAGCCCTACCTGGCGGATGACAAAATTGGAGACTGTTTAATGTCCCCTCATCCCAAACCTCACATGGATCAAAAGCATTGGACTGCAAATGAACCAGCTACAGACTATGCAAAATACAAGGTCTACTCACTTTCATTAACTATGACTGTGCCAGTTAATAGGCAATTGTCTCTAACACCTCTCTTTATGTTCTGCCTCTCTTTATGTTCTGGACCCCACAGAGAGCATTTCTCCTCTACCAGCCAGCGCTTTGTTAGGTTGTGACGATAGAGAGCCCTGAAGGGGGAGACCAGAAGCTAGGAGGAAGAAGAAGGATGTACTGCTTCTTATTTGCTTGCTGACTGGATTGGCTAATCCAATTGCATATTTGAGTTCAAATCCCGTTTAAAGTCTGAAGTGAACTCTTAGCCAGGATTCCTAGCCTATAGATCAATCCCAATCAATAAAAATCTAAATAACTCAGAAACGGGAAGACTGGGAGCAGATTAAACAGCTCTAGTTGACATTTTAAAAACACATGTGAATTGCAAGTTGCTAAGCGAATAGATCTTAAAGGTTCTCATCACAAGAAAAAAATTGTAACTATGCATAGTGATGGATATTAAATAGACTTATTGTGGTGATCATTTTACCACATAGACATATATCAAATCATCATGTTGTGCCTAAAACTAATATAATAAGTCAATTACATCTCGATGGATAAGTGAAGAATATTCTGAAAAATCTAATGTCCACTACAGACAATATACCACAGCGCACAGGATGTATGTCATTATCGTCTCTCTCTCTCTCACACTTTTGGCGCATAGCTAGGAGTGCCACCTATGTGTGAGGCACTCATTTATGCCGCTGAAGGCAGCAAGACAGAATATACCTGTTCCCTGCACCGCGCCTCGTCACTAGGGGAAAGGAAGCAGATGCACGCAAGAGTCTCTCTAATACTAGGAAAACTGGGGTAAATGTTGTGACTAAGTTATAAACAAAGTCTGTGAAAAGAGAGGGAGGAGTAATCAATTCTGCCAGTGGATCTTTATATAGGCTTCACTACAGATGTACAATTGAATTAGCACTCAAAGGATGGATAGCTTTTATTTGGATTCAGCCAGCTTTTACTGAGCATTTCTTAGGTACTATCCGTAATCATAAACCACTTTACAATTAATCCAGTCTATTATCTGCATCCATACTATCATCGTAATGGGACAGATAAGGACATTCGTGAAAAGAGATAGTCTTCTAAGAGTAATAACTGCCAAATGGCAGAGAGAGAATGTAGTCGTGTCTAGTGCTCTCTAAACAAAATATTATAACTAATTTATTCAGACAGAATAATAAACAGAGAGGGATTCAGAAATTTGAAATGTGACCCCTTTCACAAGAATCTGTTCCAGGAAACAGGCAAGGAAATGGATAATTGTTTTTGTTTTTGTTTTTGTTTTAAAGATTTTATTTATTTATTTGAGAGAGAGAATGAGAGAGAGAGAGAGAGCACATGAGAGGGGGGGAGGGTCAGAGGGAGAAGCAGACTCCCTGCC